TAGAGAGAGAGAGAGAGAGAGAGAGAGAGAGAGAGAGACAGAGAGAGACAGAGAGAAAAGTCGGTCCCTGCGGAGGCTGGGACAAACATGAACGAAACAGATCCGTTGAAAAGAAACGGAATGAAAAACTATATCCCGATGCGAAACCGTGTTGCAGTCACGACAACTATGAAGACGAAACGTTCAGGTGCACGCCGTCGCCTTGTCTGCCTGTGCATGCTTGGCTAAATACTTCAAGGCGTTTGTGAATGAAAAGAATACAGTCCTTTTGTTTCCGAGTTCGCATCCGAAAGAGTTTAACGCTCTACCAGAAATAAATACAGGTGTGTCAGTTTTGGGATCGGAGCGCTTGTCCCAGTGAGAAAAGTTATATTTTTTCCTGTTTTAAGAAGAAGAAAAAGGAACAGACGACAAAGGAAGGACAGAAAACACGGAGGATACAGAAATGAAATAGTGTAATTCACATCTCAGTTCGTTATTTATTGGTTTGGGTTGACAGCGGTTTTACGGTACTTGCCACACTTTTGGTCATACTGATGCACAGAATTCTACACTGAGTGTACACTGAGTGTACACTGAGTGTAGAATTCTGTGTACTGATGCCAGAAGTTACAAGGGAGTACCAAACCTTAAAAAGAAGAAAGATAGCTAGGGACGATAATACGGTCGAGAGACTAGTCTTCTCAGGTAAGGATAAATAATCCCAGAGGTGCCGTGTACACATCGCCAAAGTAAAAGGTTCCTTGGTGGTTGATAATCGAAGAAGTGTAGGCCGTAAAGCTGCCACAAGGGCAAAATTGAAATTTAAAAATCTCCCTACCATTAAAAATTATCCGTATCACACCTGTAACATGATAAGACACGCCCTTACACATTCCTTGGTTGCAAACTTATCGACGATGTCTATCTTTTGGAGCACAACGAGGAAGTAAAAAAAGGCGTATAGTTCCCCAGACGTTTGACCATTGGTCTGAACTATAATTGGTCACTTTTAAGCACAAGGGGGCTATCCCAATTAGCGAAAAATGCTGTTTTGAGAAAATCGAAGGTAAAGTTTGTGGACCCTTGTTCAGTTTCTTCAAAAGACAAGGAGACGTTTCTCTATAACCAAACAAATATACACACCAAGGAAACCAAACTTCTCCTACAGGTAGGGCAATGCCCACTTTTGGAGTTGGTCAAGATATCTGGACACTCCCGAAATCTGGGTTAGCAGGCTTATCCATAAAAGCGAGCCAATCATAGAAAAAGGTTCTTGGGTCAGGGCGTCGAGATCGTCACAAGAAAGGGACGGGACGTGGTGCACTCTTGTTTCAGTACATTAGCTATTCCTGTAAACATGCCTGTAGCGAGGTGGCAGATGAATGATAGCATATTATGCACAGGCCCGTGCGTATAATATAATGACATACAAGGATGAAATTCAAGAGTCCAATCCTGACCCTGACAGCGGTCCAACAGGCCACAAGTGCTGTGTTTGCGGAAAATCTTTCTCTTAAAGAATAGCGCTTCACGGTTATATGCGAAGCCATAAGAAGGTACATGTATAACCAAGGAACCATAATAATACGTTTAGGCAGATAGGCACACCACTTTAAAACCGGAAAGGGCTGTTTTCAAAGTAGAGTTGTTGCGTTCGGAGTCATTATAAGCTGCTTGCTATTACATGTATTTCCTTTACTTTTCTCTCTTTACCATGTCACATAACTTCTCTCACTCCTCGGGTGTTAAATTTCAATGTCATCATCAAAATTCATGATGATGGACGAACTATAATACATATTATTATTATTATTATTATTATTATTATTATTATTATTATTATTATTATTTTATTATTATTA